AAAAAAAAAAAAAAAAAAGGCAGAGTCTCATTTTCTTGCCTTTGGTAGAGTGCTATAGCATCACAGCTCACAGCAACCTCCAGCTTTTGGGCTTAGGCGATTCTCTTGCCTCAGCCTCCCAAGTAGCTGGGACTATAGGTGCCCACCACAACACCTGGCTATTTTTTTGTTGCAGTTTGGCCAGGGCCGGGTTTGAACCTACCACCCTTGGTATATGGGGCTAGCTCCCTACTCACTGAGCCACAGGCGCCACCCTACTCTCCTTTGTAAACTCATGGACTTCTCTTGGGTAATCACAATCTCTCACTTGAATCACAATAGAAGGTACATCATTAGTTCTCTACAAACCTGTCTTCCACACAATTAGTAATCTGTCCAAAATACAAAGCTAGATCAATACCCTGCTTAAATCATTCCAAGACCTCATACTGCCTTTAAGATAAAGCCTTAGCATGGTGTTCAAGGTGTCTGAACTTCATGCACTGGCCTCTTATCTATTGAACCAGTTTTATCTGTCACTCAACAATATATCCTCAATGTTCAGCATCATCAAATTACTTGAAATTCCTTGATCGTGAGCTTGATCTTTCATGCCTGGTATATATAGTTCCCTGCAACTGAAATGCCTTCCTCTTCCCCACTAATTTCTGTGTCTGCCCTATAGGATGCATCATCATCTGCATACTTGGTGTTCAGTAAAGGATAATATGTCTTGTCTACCAAAGCATTCCTTGCCGTTAATGGAGTACCTGTACACAGTGAGTTAGCAACACATTCTATATAACTCTGGTCTTGCAATTTTAAAATCATTTCACTAATCATAAGGACATTAGCACTAGACTATTTATTGCAGCTCAATTTACAACTGCCAAAATGTGGAAACAATCTAAATGCTCACCAACCCAGGAATGGATTAATAAGCTGTGGTATATGTACACTATGGAATACTGAGCAGCCATTAAAAAAGATGGAAACTTTACATCTTTTGTATTAACCTGGATTGAGGTGGAACACATTGTTCTTAGTAAAGCATCACAAGAATGGAGGAGCAAGAATCCAATGTACTCAATTCTAATATGAAGGCAGTAGATGATCTAATATAAGGTGGGGGTAGGGGAAAAAGGGAGCAGGTGGGGGGCGGAAAGAAGGGAGATGGGAGGGTTATGGTATATAGCACACCTCTATACCTCTTAAGGGTCGGGACACAATTATAAGGAATTTACCCCACAAACGCAATCAGTGTAACCTAATTCTTTGTATCCTCAATGAATCCCAAACAATAAAAAAGAAAAAAAAATCATTTGACTAGAAATAAGTGCAGGAAGGTAAAGATCATATATCTCCATTAGCAGCCAACTACTTACTTAGTACCTGTGTTGTGAGAATGCATTTTCCCTAGAGAAAAGGCCCAAGTGTGACATTCTTATCAGGCCTATAAACAAGGATATAGCACTACTGATGAAAAGAGAAGTGGATCCTGACCACGGTTACTCTAGCCCTGGTTTTGAGCAAGTGAAGCAGTCAATCTTCCATGTAAACAGGCAATTCCTGTGTAAAGATGGATGGTGGAAAGCCTGAAGAAACCTCATGCTCAAGAAGTTCAGGCACAATCTACTCTGATAAGTTCACCACCCTGAGAGAGAAAATAGCAGTGTAATTGGAGAAGGAAATGGTTTTACTATTCATACTTGAGGCCTAGGCTGAATACAGAGTTCTAGACTTACCTGTCAGTTTCCTTGGAGTATTTAATCCTTTTCCTTTCTGGAGAGTCAAAAGATTGGAGCTTTTCCTTGCGATCATTTCCTCTTTCTTTAAATCTTCCCTGTTGATAAGCAGAAGAACAGACCTGAAATTTCAACTTGAAAGAACTGGGGAGTGGGGAAGCTTTACCCTATTCCTGGTATTTGTTTTAATGTGAAGGTAGTCAACTTGTAACTGCTGGAATTTCAAACTAACTCCTTCACATATTTTTCTAGAGAAAGCAGTGACTTCTCTGACTGGAGACTTTGGAAAAAATAAGTTGGCATGCTTGGCTCAGCTGTCTTTTCCTCTTCTGAGAAGTAGGTGATCTCCAATAGGCCTCCATAGGTAGATTCTTAACCATCACATAGTATAGGCAAGTGATGCCTATAACTCAGTAAGTCAGTCTAATTGTGTGGTTCAGGTAGCAAATCCATTAGACTCTCAGCAAGCTACATCCTCTAGCTTAGCCTTTGACAGTGAATGATGCCATTTCAGCAGTCATATTCAACATTCCTTCATCTTAACTAATTTAAAAGCTGAGCAGGAAAGTGCTATTTCTTTGAACTACCTGGGGAATCTAACATCACTTTTTTTTTTTTTATTTTTGGGGTTTATTACATCCTCTTTTTATTTTATTATTTTATTTTATTTTATTTTATTTTATTTTTTGAGACAGAACCTCAAGCTGTCCCCCTGGGTAGAGTGCTATGGCATCACAGCTCACAGCAACCTCCAACTCCTGGGCTCACGCGAGTCTCCTGCCTCAGCCTCCCAAGTAGCTGGGACCACAGGCACCCGCCACAACGCCTGGCTATTTTTTGGTTACAGCCGTCATTGTTGTTTGGTGGGCTCCGGCTGGATTCAAACCCACCACCTTAGGTGTACGTGGCTGGCGCCTTAGCCACTTGAGCCACAGGCGCCGAGTCTTTTTATTTTATTATTATTATTTTTTTAGACACCATCTCAAGCTGTCACCCTGGGTAGAGTGCCATGGTGTCACAGCTCACAGAAACCTCCAAGTCAGGCTCAAGCGATCCTCTTGCCTCAGTTTTTCTATTTTTAGTAGAGACAGGGTCTCGCTTTTTTTTTTTATTGAATGGTAACTATGTACATTAATGCACTTCTGGGGTACAGTGTGGGGTTTTCACAGGGTCTTGCTTTTGCTCAGGCTCATCTTGAACCTGAGAGCTCAAGCAATCCACTGGCTTTGGCCTCTCAGAATGCTAGAATTACAGGCATGAGCCACCACACCTGGCCTAACATCACCTTTTTAAAAAATACTAACTTGGCTCAGCATGCATAGCACAGTGGTTACGGTACCAGCCAAATACACAGAGACTGGTGGGTTCGAACTGGGCCTGGCCAGGTAAACAACAACAACTGCAACAAAAAATTGCCAGGTTTTGTGGTGGGTACCTATAGTCCCAGCTACTTGAGAGGCTGAGACCAGAGAATCATTTGAGCCCAGGAGTTTGAGGTTGCTGTGAGCTGTGAGCCGAAGCCACTACTGAGAGCAACATAGTAAGACTGTCTCAAAAAATAAAACAAACAAACAAACAAACAAAAAAAACTTGCTGGGTGTAGTGGCATGTACCCTAGCTACTTGGGAGGATGAAGTGGGAAGATCATTTAGTCTAGGAGTTTAAAGGTAGCCTAGGCAACAAGCAAGACCTTGTTTCAAAAAATAAGCATAAAAGAATATGCTACAGAGAATATAAGTAGCAGGGAAGAAAATTCTGGGTGGGGTGGGAAGATCAACTTTATTGAGATATAATTTATAAACAGTAAAATTAATCCATTTTAAGATATAATTTAATGAGGTATGCCAATTTGCTGGTTTAGCTATTGTATTACAGCCACACAAAATATCAACATTGAGGGAGACTGGCATAAAGATACACTCGATTTCTCTATACATTTCTTTGCACCTTCTGTGAATCTGTAATTTTTCAAAAAGTTAAAACAGCTGGTGCCCGTAGCTCAGTGAGTAGGGTGCCAAGGCTGGCAGGTTTGAACCCGGCCCAGCCAGCCAGCTAAAAACAACAATGACAACTGCAACAACAAAAATAGCAAGACATTGTGGTGGGCACCTGTGGTCCCAACTACTTAGGAGGCCGAGGCAAGAGAATCCAGGGCCATGGCTTGAGACTCTGTCTCAAAAAAAAAAAAAAAA